AATACCTGCAAATATTTTAAAACTGACATCAACCCTTATCGCTCCATCTATAACTTTTATATTTAACCTATCGATTAGAACTGGTATTTATATAGATGAGTGGAAATTAGCTAGAGTTATACCAATTTACAAATCTGAGGATAAGCGTAAATGCGAAAATTATAGACCAATTTCAATTCTTCCCATAATAACTAAAATATTTGAAGGGGAAGTTTTTACTCAAATATATAGCTTTTTGAATAAACATGCGCTTCTGTCTAAATTTCAATCCGGGTTTGGACCAAAACATGGAACCTTAGGTGCTCTTATACAAATGTGTGATCAATGGCTACAAGACATGGATGAAGGCAAAATAAATAGAGTTGTTTTTCTTGATATATGTAAAGCATTTGACTCGGTGAATCACGAGATATTATTGGAGAAGCTTAAAACCCAGTTTGGAATTGACGACATTGAATTAAAATGGTTCCAATCATACTTAAGGAATAGAAAGCAAGTGTGTTCTGTTAATGATCAAACTTCTTCTGCAAGAACAATAATATGCGGAATTCCGCAAGGATCCATACTTGGTCCATTATTGTTTTTGCTATATATTAATGATATGCCAGACATTTTAGAAAGGACAACCCCATGTCTTTATGCCGACGACACTCAGATATCTTCCTCTTCGCATGATTACGATACATTGATTGACAATTTAAATATGGACCTTTCCAGTATTCATAAATGGCTTGCTAAAAACAAACTAAAATATCATAGGAAAAAAACGAAAGTCATGTTTATTGGATCTATACGCATAATCTAAATAATAAAATAGGAAATAGACCCGTTGAGATTAACAAAATCCCAGTCCCACAAACCAATACATTTCAATGTCTAGGTGTAAATCTAGATGAAAAATTGAGTTGGGAGAAACATTTTGATTCTGTATGCCATAAGATTAGCGCTGGAATAGGAGCAATTAAAGGAATAAAACCTTATGTTCCACACAAAACCTTACATGATGTCTACAAAACATTAATTCAGCCTCATTTTGATTACTGTTCTCCCCTGTGGGATAACTGTGGTTTGGGACTTCAAGACAAATTGCAAAAATTCCAAAATCGACCAGCAAGGGTGATTACCGGAGCTGACTACGATGTAAGATCGTCTGAAGTCCTAAACAAATTAGGCTGGGAAACCCTGGCTAGGAGACGAGAACAAAACAAGCTAGTATTGATGCATAAAGTCTTGGGGAACCACACTGCGCCAAACCTTAAAGATCTTTTTTCTCGGAGAAATGCATCGCAGAATATTTATGATTTACGCAATAGCGAAACTGATCTCTCGTTAAAAAAACCGAAAACGGAATTTCTAAAGAAAACATTTGGATACAGTGGAGCACTTCTATGGAATAGTCTCCCGCAAGATGTCAAGGCGGCTGAGTCAATTACGTCATTTAAAACAATGGCGAAATTGCATTTAAGCAGATGATATGCTAATTTCTCCAGGACCAAATGATGGGAGGACAATATAGATTGTGGGCGGGAGGGGGGTTAGTTTTGCGTGAGGGTGGGTGGGTACTTGTTTAGGGGGTGGAGGTTTGGGAGGAAGATGATAAAATTTTAGGGTGGGATTCTTACATATTTTGTTCTATATATAATTAACATTTAGCTCTTTGTGTGTATACGCCCTTCGTGGAAACCAGTTGTAAATAATTGTCGAAGTTAGCGTATTGAATAAAGTTTTACATACATACATACATACCAGTGGAATGCGCATCCTTCTGGAAGCTACAATCCCAGTGCTACCAGAAACTGAACAGAATTGTTTATCGGCAAAACAGCGACTTCTCTCAAGACCAAATAAGACCGAGAAACTACGTCTTATACTGTAACCGTAGCCCTTGTCGATATCGTGCTATATATAATTACCGTACTTTGTCTTTGGCGATTAAACTTGTATATCAACAGAATCAACTCATGTTAAAGTGTAATTAATTAAAGCGAATTTGCGCTGTAACAAGTAAACTTCTTGTGTTATCTCACAATGCTTATAAGCGTCTAAATTCAGGTGTGAAGATGCTAAGAAACGCGTCACATTCTATGTTTATGCTGCGATGTTAAACGTTGCTTTAATCCTATTAAAATATCGACAGTAGGTGTAAGGTTTTGCCTTAAAACTAAAGGTGATTGAATGTTACTTCGAATTCTGCCTTTAATCAACATTAAACCGTACCTTAATTATGGCGCGCTTCAATGTTGGTTTTAAGCCGCTTTAATATCCTCACTAAATGCAATTAAATGTATCGGTTTCCAAAAGAGGTGTTTTATTCAGACCAAATGCGATTAAATGTAATTTTTTATTTAAACCACCTTTACTGAGGTTATCAAAGGTGTAAACACACATTTAATATCTTTAGTATTTTTGCTAAAGTTGATTAATGACACGCTTTTTGTCCTGTGTGAAATTCCAGTGAATATTATCGTTCATTATAACGCTAGCGCATCAGTTGTGTTTTTAGTTTGTTTATAATGGTCTTAATAGTTGTATATGTAAAACTTTTATACTTCATCTGTTTAGAAAGACGAGGGGTTGCTACATGCATGTATTTTCTAGTACAACTTATAATTGTATTGTCCATGCAGGCATGCATGCATGCGTATATGAATCCGTTCGCTGTAATACCAGACGCAAATTCATGATCTGCTGTCTCTACCAATGAGCAGGCCAGTTTCTATGCGTTTCGACAAATAGATCGTTTTTGTAATGAGGCTATACGTTCGTTTTCGTTGAGTTCTGCATGTGGACAGTTTGAACGTTATGTGACTTATGTCGCATAACGTTGATATACATTGGAAGATGTTGGGCCAGATTTGACATTTTTAACATGTTGTTTCAACTAAGCAAAATTGTGGAAAGACCCTTAAGCTGCTTGACTGATAAGTCATGCACAGATACTGTAATTTCGAAATCAGGGTGTCTATATATGTATATTCATCGCTTCTGTGACTATATTTGCATGAGATATTTAATTAACATATAATCCGTTATACATACACCATATAACATATTGAACTCCATTTCTACTAAAATGTAATGCTTAACTTAAACCATGCAATACAGTCGTGTACTCAGTAAAATCATGAGCACAATCTCGTTCCCATGCAGAGTATGCTCTTCCGCAGATTCGGCGTAGGGCATGACTCTGGAGAAACGGAATGAGATTTTTAATTTCATTGGCCGCTGTATATCATATTTCTTCATATAAATACTGCTTTTGATGTATAACCTACCTGGTTTATCCCGATGATGACTGAAATATTGTCGAAACGTAGATAAATATAAACATGTTATCGATCTTTGAATTCGTTACACTTGTTTTGGGTTTTAGGTTTAATATCATTCAGAAATTAATTAAGCTTAAAGATTATTACATGCTATCATGAGTAGGAACATATACAGTACTAATTAAATATCAATCGTGCAAGCAATTGAATCTCTTGCGATGCAATGCATGGGAACGGCTAACATCTCAAGGGAATCTGGCGACGTTTTCAACAACATGTCAAATTAAAGTTTAATTGGCTGGCCTGTTGAAACCAAGAAACGAAGCGGAGAAATGCTGTTATCTGCCCATCCGCGTAAAATAAGACAAAATGACAGAGATACAGTATATCCAAAGCTTGGTTGGACATCTCACAATCTGGCAAATTAAAAACAGGTTATGATCTATTCGAAAAGCATGCTAATCCGAAATCAAATCTCATGTTTGCTAAATATAAGGTTTGTTAACAAATAACAAAGCCCAACCGAGACAGTAGAGCAATTCATAACAGAGTTACAACTCCTTGCTAAAGATTGTGAGTTTCACGACAAATATGAAATGGTCAAAGATCGAATTGTTTTGCGGACAAACTCATGCAGATAATGTAAGAAAAAAAAGTTGAATGGAAGGGGCTGAACTCTCGTTAGACAAAGCTATAGAAATTGCGATAAATAGCCCAGCACAAAAGTATGATTTCTGAAACCAAGTACACAGTTACTTTTAAAGATCAATACAAAACGCTTGACCGCTTGTATTGCATTGCATTTGCATTGCATTGCGTTGCGTTGCATTGCGTTGCGTTGCGTTGCGTTGCCTTGCATTGCATTGCATTGCGTTGCGTTGCGTTGCGTTGCGTTGCATTGCGTTGCGTTGCGTTGCGTTGCGTTGCGTTGCATTGCATTGCATTGCATTTACAAAATAGATTAAAATAAACATTTTTATTGCGAATTGCAGTTCACAATAGATTAAAATAAAAGAAAATGAAAATAAAATAAAAGTCTTGAATCTGATTACATGCAGAGTTTTTATGCTAAATTGTAGGATTTCGGTTATGGTCAATCTTGGGATATCGATTAGACTTTATTTTTATGATTGCTATGAATTACCAGACAAACAGTTCCACCGGATTTTAAAATACCAACTCTAAAAATCTGAGCTCTCCAGAATTAAACTACAACATAGTACATCATACATACATATAAGACTTTATTTTGACACGCTAGCCTCATCAACATAAGCTGTTTTTCATGAGGGGCGTGTTAACTAACTAATTACACAAATAATATGTACAAATTAAAGTTACATGAAGCATACAAAGACTAACAGGTAGACAAAAATATATAAACGACAAATATTAAATATGATTGAGGACATCTCAGCTTCACCTCGCCGTAGATTTTATAATTCTTTTGAATGAATAAACGAATCAGCGCTTTTTTATTCAATAGACAGATTATTCCAATGGATAGCTCCATTGTATTTAAAACTTTTTTTAAGAAATTCTTTCTTTGGTTTTGGTAATGCTAGATCAGTTTAACGATTCCTAAGATCATAAGGGGAATCGCCTTCACTGCATCGTCGAAATAGTTGTTTTAAATTTGGGGCGGCATGGTCATTAATTATTTTATACATGTAAATAGATTTTGTATAGTTGCGTCTCTGGTCTAAAAAGATTCCCAACCTAACATATTCAGCACATCAACAGATCGAATACCAAAAGTAGACCTCGTTATAACTCTCGGAGCGCGATTCTGCAATCTTCGAAGCTTTTCCCTAATATCACTTCCACAATTGTCCCAAAGAGGGCTACAATAATCAAAGTACCGTTGCACCAGAAAATTATATGTTAGCTTAAGTGTTTCTAGTGGTACAAAAGGCTTCATTCTTCTAATAATTCCAATTCCATCCCCCAACTTTTGCGCAAATATTATCTATATGTTTTTCCCAAGTGAACCTTTCATCTAGGTCAACACCCAGGCATGTGTAGTTTTCCGTCCTGGGGACTGGTACATTACTAATTAAAATTGGGTTCTGAGAAATTTTGATTTTAATAGACGATCCAATATAGCTACATATGTTTTGTCTTTGTTGTATGAATTTGAAGCTTATTTCGTAACATCCATTTACGGACATTTTCAAGAGCACAGTTCATATTGGTGACCATGCAGCTCGTCACCATCTTTAGCAGATGCATAAATTTCCGTGCATCTGCATACATAGAAGGAGTGCAAAATTTTAAAGATTTAGGCATAAGAAACAGCAACGGCCCCAAGATCGAACCCTGCGGGATTCCACAAACTGTTTTCTTAGTTGATGAAATCTGGCCATTAACCGTACATTGTTGCTCCCTGTTGGTTAGGCAAGATTGAAACCATTCCAGTTCAGTGCCGATTATGCCAAAATGGTCATGCATTTTTTGTAGCAGTATTTCATGATTTATTGAGTCAAACGGTTTTCGAACGTCAAGAAATACTACACAATTCAAATTTCCGTTATCCATGTTTTGCAACCACTCATCACACATTTCTATCAATGCTGATAATGTTGAATGCTTTGGGCTAAATCCGGATTGATATCTAGAAAGCAAAGAGTTCTCAGAGAGGTGATGGTACAATTTTTAAAAATTGGCAATATAGAAATCGGCCGATAATTTTCGCATTTCTTTTTATATCAGATTTATAAATAGAGGTTACACGAGCACGTTTCCTGTCGTCAACATAGATGCCAGTCGCAAGTGATAAATTGAATATAACCGTTAGCGACGGAGCGATAACTCTGATGCTAATTTTAGGATTTTGGCTAGTATTTTGTCCAGCCCAGTAGATTTGTTAGCTTTTAGATTGCGGAGATTCATGGATACATTTTCGATACTAATTTCGAAAAAGCAGAATGGCGAATTCGATATGGGACCAGGACGGCTGCAATTGTTTGGAAAACCTTCATCATGAAACTTTCTGCTCGCTTCAGATAGTAGTTTAGGGCCAATGTTAGCGAAATAGTCATTAAAAGATTCAGCAATGACTTTTGCATCGGAAATAGTGTTGCTGTTTACTATAATTTCGTTGATATTGGATTTGTTATTCTTACCAATAAGAGAATTGATCAGCCACCAGGTCTTTTTAAGGTCACTTGAGCAGTGTTGCACTTTCCAATTATTTTCTAAAGACCTGAAACTATCTGGCGGACCCCTGGACCATTTCCGGAAACAAAAACAAACACTACAGGGGCCGGTTGTTCAAAGCTGGGTTAGCTTAACCCTACGTTAACGTAAATTTCAAAGCAAACTTCCTGACAGTTTGTCTACAATTTTGGAAATATTTCTTCAGAGATCTTGTTTGGATCGATATGGGTTTACTTCTCAGACGTTTTGAAATAAACAGACGTGTAGAAATACACAAACTAAAACAGCAGGTTAAATTTATACCCAGGGTTAGCGCTAATCCAGCTTTGAGCAACCGGCCCCTGACAATCACCCATATATTTATTACTGTCCAATTATTCTTGTAGATATGCTGTTTTAATAACTACCATGAGGTGATTGTCAAGAGTTTTACCCTCATAACAACTATTGTTTTACTTGACACTTACAAGCTTCAAACTTCATTATTCAAAACTTTATTTTTACATTCGTCACTTCACGTACAAATAGTGGGACGACATATTCCACTGATTATGGAAAACTGTTCTGAGTTGTCAAATGTTACGTCTAATAGGGTTCTTCATAATTCTTTGCGTCTGTAGCTGCGATTTGATTGGTTTTATGATCAGTCAATTGTGCTGTTCTTCGCTGATTGTGCTGTGGAGTTGGCTGTGGAGTTGGCTGTGGAGTTGGCTGTGGAGTTGGCTGTGGAGTTGGCTGTGGAGTTGGCTGTGGAGTTGGCTGTGGAGTTGGCTGTGGAGTTGGCTGGGGAGTTGGCTGGGGAGTTGGCTGGGGAGTTGGCTTGGGAGTTGGCAGGGGAGTTGGCTGCGGAGTTGGCTGCGGAGTTGGCTGCGGAGTTGGCCGCGCCTCTGAAGTTGAATCCCACATGACACTGGTTGCCATAATTAAGGAAATAACCTTAATGACGAATGAATTCTTCATATTTTCTGTAAAGGCAAAATAGCATTGTCACTGATTTGAAAACTATGACTGGATGATGGATCTGCTATACAGATACATATATTTCACAGCACACTCCCTATCAGGGCTTTTCAGTGAATCGTTACATTATGAATAGATAGATAGAACCGGACTGGCGTGAAGCAGACTGAGGTAGACTTTGAGCTTACAAATGGCGCTTGAGCAGCTGCCGCTATTAGTCCATACCTCATTACTGATCTGCCTCCAGACCTTATGTGCCTAACTCACCCTGTCAACTTTCCCAGTTGGAGGAATCACGGAGTACCCGTAGAAAAGCCACGACTTTCGGCAGAGCGTTGACTTTTACTCTTTTCACATGAGGACTGGGTTCGAGTCACATTGAGAAGTCCTCACTGAGGCTTGAACCAGCTACCTTAGAGGTGAAAGGCAAGTGCGCTAACCGCTTCGCCATAATGCTATAATCGGCTATAATCTACTATATTATATCTTTTTACTGCTGACATGTTCGAAGAGGTTTTTAATAAACTAGAAATACATGCATGCAGTAACCCCTCGCCAATATTTTCCAAACATTAAATTAACATGAAGTATTCAGATATGGCCAACACTGAACGCAGGCTCGCGCTCAAGTGTTGCCATGACAACACGATATTCTTAAATTTTTAATTTTTTGTTTTGCCTTTGTTTAGCGTGTAATTTAAACAAGTTTTTTTACATCTAAAAATTCCGCCTAGTGATCAAAACTTGGATTATATTTGCAGTATTGGCTATTTGTTCACTTTTGGAGGTCAAAGTTTGAGGTCCAATTATTTTTAAAGTTTGCAAACTACCCAGCTAATACTTGGCTGTTGTTTGCAGCCTTGCATGCTGATTAAAATTTAGTTTAGTTCACAATAGTAGATCCTTTCAATGAAGTGAAATTAAAAATAGTAGATTTGATTACTTTTCCAGCACAGTCAGTACATAGGTAGGGTGCAATACCAGGCCAAATTGGAAAAACATTTGCCTATTGCTCCAAATTCAAAATAATATTTTTTTGCTCCCAAGGCACATAGCAAACAGAATTTAACAATAAATTTTGTTGAAAAATTCCGCTTATGTGTCTTATTTCGCTTTGAAATGCGTGCGTTTACTGCTCTTGTGTGAAGCAAGAGTTCGAAAACATTCGAAGTACTGTAAAATGTAATGAAATCGACAACTTGACCTTGCCCTTGAGATCTTGTTACTGCCTCAGCACTGAAATGTTTTTTGACAACGATATTTTACTAGTGTTTCTTAGATATTTTCCTTGTTTAACTCGTAGAACCGAACATACAAGTGCATCTGAAGATTAAGCGAGAGTTTGGTGTAGAAATATGCTGTTTACGGGAAGTTATTTTGCATTCGCAAGGCGCCAACAAAAGCCGGCATTTTCGGCAAGTTTGATTATCATATCAATAGATAAAAGCTTTACTGTCGTTCCAATTGAAGTGTTCCTCAAATATTGATTCAATACATTACCTCAGGCTGACCAATTCATTTGATAGAAAATTGATCAACTTCCTGTTACTTTTAAATGAGCCAATTAGATTTCGTTTCAGAACCGATTGACCAATAGGAAACGCACAGAAAGTAAAAAGAAATTTGAATTCGTATGAATTGGTCAGCTCGAGGTAATGTAATGAATCAATTAATATTTGAGGAACACTTCAATTAGAACGACAGTAAAATTCAATTGAAATACATTTTACACCACCCGTATTGGAATATAGTATATGTTAGTCGTATTAACATTGAAATTCTTTCTGTTTGAACCCAAATTTGTACTTGTTTTGCGTTTGACAATGCTGTCAAGCTCGCGTCCTCCCGACGATTCAGTGGCTTTTACCAAGCATCAGATTCAGTATTTTTGTTTGTGTCAGGATTATAATATCCTGTTGGTGTTCAAACAGATATTCTATACACTGAAAACGTAGAGTACATTTTACTTTGTCTTTGACTCAAGCAAAAAAAGTATAAAGTTTAAACAGGCATTCAAAGATATACAACAGCCGCGAACGTCTTCGCTATATTTCTTCGTGGAAATCTTCAAGTTTCAATGGAAATTTTGGTTAATCTGGCGCATGCTCAGCAGGGGCGGATCCAGACCGATGCCAGCGATGCGAATGCATCGGTCAAAATTGAGAAATCATGATTCATGTAGCTTGAAATATATAGATATATAATGTCGCCAATACTCAAAGCACTCAGTAATAAAATATCTCCTGTCAACCCGCAAATCTTTGCTTAAAATTGACTCCGTGCGACGTGCGATCGCAAATGTGTACTTTCTGTTATTTTGCGACACTTAAGCGTCAATATTTTCACGACAAAATATGTTATATTTTACCGCATCCTTTGACGTCACAGTTGAAGCAAAATGCATCACCTCACATCACGTTCGCTGAGGTCACGTTAAATTCGATTTGGCATCACTGGCATCCATTTTGCATCAGTGAATGCATCGGTCCCGAGTCCTTTTCCGCGAGAAATCTAACGTGACATCATCAAATCTATTGTTTCAGAGCCCTACGTCACGTTAGACTTGGCCGCTGAGCGATGCATCGTATGCAGATTGCGGGCGCTCGCATCGGTCCACTGATGCAAATTGCAAAATCAAATCTACTGAGACGTAACGAGGCATTGGATTCATGTCATGGCGGCAAGGATATTTGGATATGCAAACACCATATGCAAATGAGACAAATAATGCGAAGGGAAATCCCTCAAAATTGACGGATAACAAATAATTTACAGTCGAACCAATTACTACCATGTGGAAAAATGGAAGGGATCTATGCCCACGATGTGAAACTCGATCGAACATTCGAACCGAGGGCTCTAATTAAGTAAGTTAAATTTCTCTATATTTTTACAAATTATAGTAAATTACTAAATTGTTTAGTTCAAGAAGTGTGTAATTAAAGTGGAAATGTGGTCCACAATTAATATAGATTTGTATGTAATAACAAAATTATTACAGGTTGTGTCTATTACTGTTGTTGCTCTATATTCTAGAAAGACCAGAAAGATGTCAGTGGTTGTGGGGGTGGGTGGGGGGGGGGGTGTTAAATTTTACAGAGGTTTGCTTGCCTGGAAGCAAACCAGCCCCAATACAAAACTTGACAGCTTGCTTTACTGAGGCAAATTTCATCTCGGTTTACATGGTATTATATCCTGTGCCCAAACCTTCATTTTTCTCACAGCTGGCGGGCAAAGAAAAATGAAGCCCTGATACACATTTTACTAAATGTTTGTGTCCTACAGTCCTACAAGTGCCTTTATGGTTCATGGTTGTAACTCCGATTGGCTATTTCTAGCATGAGTATTCATGCCATTTTTAATGTATTGTTTTGATAATTGGTTAATGTTATAATTAAATAATTGTCATTATGATATATTTAGTGATTGTAACTATATTTAGTTTGTTATTATGTGAAATTGGCATTTCTTCTGGCACATTTTAATTGGATGCCAAAAATAAAACTAGTGTGGGTGGAAAGTAACTCTGAATGGATCAAGACTTGCATCAGTCTCCGTATGTAATTACAGAGCATAATTGCAGCTTAATGAGATTTCTAATAGTAATGCAACATTGGTTACAGTAGAAGACTAAGGGGGAGTTTACATGAAAGGTCATTGTTTCAAGTTGCAACTTCCAGTGGTATCTCCTATTTCATTTCATTTTCATTTTATATGGACATGAGCTGGCATGCCTTGTGACAGGGGTCTTACTTTGCATTGCCTGAATTATTGGGCAATTACTGTACACTAGCTGGATATTTTGCAAACAAAGATGATAACCTGGGATTGCTCGCCTACCATAGTTGAGTGTTTATATGCTTTGTCTGTGCAAATATAATTTGATATAAGCTGTTTATGTCATATGACATTCTCCTGATAGATTTTAATCTTAGAATCAATGATAAAATGATGGACGGTATAAATACTGTATATACTGTAGCTGGTGTATACTGGTTATAATTATGAAATTTGCTCACAAAAGTGGGATAGTTTGGAAAATATATTTAAGTAAATTATATATTTGTAATGCTAATTATCCCAGTATTATGTTTTGGATAGCCAGCATACCACCCTGAGGATTACAATTACCATTGATAAGTGTATGGATATATTGGACAAGATGTGCATTTATATAATAACATAGGGAAAATTAAATATTCATCAATACTACTGTGCGGCTGCATTACTGGTACTGAAACATAAAGGTACTGTATTAATATTAGTTGAAAGTCAGGCAAAAGAGGACATATGATTAAATTATGTCATGTTTATCATTGTACAGTTTGGTATTGGTTTATTTAACAAACAATTTCCAACTAAGATAGATTCATTAAATTAATTTACAGTTTACACACAGTCTCTATTGATAAGGTGGTTCGATAGTCAAAATAGGGCTATTTTGAGAGCACTATTTATCATAGCGCAGGTGCTTTTCTGATAATTTAATTTGAATTAATAGATACAATGGTCTAATAGCTTCAACTTACAAAACACTTTTTGTCCATATCTACAGTTGCTAAGGAGCCACACCCTTTTCCCCACCCAACCCATTTTTAAAGTCGTCAAACTGTTGGTCACGCCAACAGTGATTTCTCCTAAACGAAAAGTGCTAGGCGTCTGAAATTTTCTAAGTGATATATGTAATACAAAAGCTATGCAATGACCTATTATTTTCCAGATATTCTAATGCTTTCATATATTTTGGCCTTTCTCAAAATTGGTAAGAAAAATTCTCCAAGAACATGTTGTCTAAAGGCTCTAAATATTGTTTGGGGTAGACAAACAGGAAAATAATAGGTCATTGCACAGCTAATACTTGTATGAATTCACAGTGAAAATTTCAGGCTTATATGTAAAATACTTCTCAAGATATTGCAATTATTGGCTCTCGGAACATTCAAATTCTCAAAAATGAGAAAAATCACTCCGAAGTTTGATTGATAAGTTAAACTTGAACCAAAGTTCATGTTCCCAATTAGAAAACACCAGCCTCATACTGGGGTTCCTCTTTTGCTTCCTGGGTTTCATTATGCCCCTTTTTCTACTGTATAATTTTTCTGCGGCGCTTTTTAGATGCATCAGAGCTCTTTTAGCCCGAGCGCCAAATCCGGTCAATATCAATCCACAATTCAATACAGGCTTTGGTAGAATAGATTCCAGGGTCAACACTAAGATTTTCCAAAACAGATAAAATTGTTCTGGATCCATCATTGAAGTGACCAACTGCAAGATAGGTAGCCAATTCAACAGTAGGAAGACTGGAATGGGTACATTGTATGCTTCGTTTTGGTTATACGTACCACCATGGAGGCTTCGTCGCCATGTCCCGTCAGCTGAAATACCAATATTATATAGTTCCCATGTCCTCTTCCACTCCATAAAATTGTTTGGTTTCTTGACTTGCATTATTCATGCTTTACAAACTACTTCAGGAAGGATGGCAACAACATGATCTCGGTATGCATTCTCATTCATGGTGGTGGCATGTTCATGGTGGCATGTTCATGGTGGCAGTGGATTTTGAGGGTCTTCTGTGACCGATAACAATGTTTCTTCCACCCAGCACAGCTCGGCGATTTACCTCAAAAGCTTTACCATTATGGACAGTTCCTGATGTATAAAAGCTCCTTGAGTAATTACAATTCTGAGCTGACCATTCAAGAATCAACTGCGAAGCAAATATTTTTTGGATTCCAAATTGTCCTTCATGATCACATGGTCACAGGCCCACAGCGACAATCAGGACACCAAAAAGTCTCCATTATTTGTGTTAGAATTTCGACATCAATAAAAGGGAAACCTTTGTTACCTTCTAATGATTCACTTTCATCCTCGCTACAATTTTCTAAATCAAGATTTCTCACAGAAGTAGGCATGTGTATCTTTGGCTCAACAAAACTCTCGCTTGACATCTCGGTAACTTCTGTCGATCAGCCAATGTAACCGTAACTTGTTGAGCCACTATGTATGAACATTTCCAGTAGATTTCTTTTTCTTCCTTCTTATACTTCTAAATTTCTTCTCAGACGACATTATTCAACCAAATGAGATCGTTTTATATAATACTTTCTTGACTCACATGCGAATTGTAAAAAACAAAGTTATACTATTATTTTTTGTAACCGCTCCTTCAGCTGTTTTAAACTAGTTAACAGGCCTTTATCCACTCTTCCATTTAAGGGGGCATGCTAACGTTTTTAGGAGACATCAGATGCAAAAATATAGCATTGTTTAGCGCAAAAACATGCAAAAACAAATATGGTTACCATGGCAACGACATCCTAAATTGACAAACTAGTATACTAAATGGCTTATTTTGAAGAAAATAAGCAATGTATCCAAATAAAACGTTTTTGAAGCAAAAGTACAAGGGTCCCACATGCAAAATTTTATATTTGCAAAAAAAAAAATTTCCAGAAATTTTGACTATTTAAAACATGTGGTTCTGTGTGTACCTAGTTATATATTTAAATATTTTTAAACCCAGTTTTTGTTGTGTGTTAGTTTACTGGTTTCCTCGCCACAAGGCAATATTCTCAGTATTCGGAGTGTGGGCTGTTCACCATGCAGTTCATATTAAAGGCAGCTAGGGGCAAGTGAAATTGACCAACTGATGCCAACCACACTGTCCATGAGAGTAAGATTAGCAGCATAAGACAGAGTTGCATATATTTTCCCAGTAAAGCATAACAGTGGTGGATTTAGGGCGGGGGGGAGGGGTATGCACACATACCCCCAGGTTCTGGTCAACAGGGGTGCATGTGGGGGGGGATGCAATATCCTATCCGTTATCCTAATTCTAACCAACTTATGTTAAGGAATTCAGTTGCGTATCACTAGTTGACAATAGCTGAATAGCCAATATTAAATGTTCTGAATTTTTAAATGTTTTGAGAATCTAAAAATTTTCCAGAATGTTTTCTCAGAATGCTGGAAATGCCATTTCAGAGACCCCCAAATTTTCAAAATTTTCCTGGGGAGTATACTCCTGGACCACCCTAGAAATCTCGCGCCTTCGGCGCTCGTTTCGGCATTGGTTAGCAACCCCCCCCCCACCCCCCCAAAAAAAAACTTTGCTGGATCCACCACTGAAGCACGAAATACCTTTATGCACCATATTTTATTTACTTTAAATTCTAATGCTAGAAGATTTTACTCATGGAACATTGGAAATTAATGGGGAAGGTGGTTCATAAACAACATAGTAACACTGTCTTCTGAGTCCAGCAATGCAACTAGTGGAGCACACTGTATACACCTTCGTTACACAGTATGTGTGTATTTGCGTTGTCGTGATTTTCTGCCGAAATGTTTTTCAATAGAAACGCTAAGGCTACAAGAAGCACAGTACTGACTATTTTTTCATAGAGACTTATTGCCACTGCTGCTATTACACTTGGACAAGCTTATGTGGAGAAATTATGTTGTTTTTGCGTATATGTTCAAGTTTTTTACTTGTTTTTCGAAAAATGTAGCAAAATTTTTTGTGACTCTGATATATGAATTGGAACAAAAGAATCCGCTCAAAACGCAGGAAATCGCATTTCCGGGGTCCTAGGTTTCAAAATTTCCCGGGGGAGGATACCTCCGGACCCCCTACAAATGCGAGATCTTATGTATGCATCACTCAGCTCAGGAGCTGGATCCGCCCCTGATGCTCAGACAAATTTCCCAGCTGCTGCACGGAAATACATTTGGTAAGTGTTTTATAACATATATAACAACAATGAAACAATTATCAAATTAGTTCACCTTCTGTAGTTATCGTAAACCTTTGTTCACTGTTTTGGTGAACTCGCCGCTTGCTTAAACTGTTATTGTTTATTAGTTAACATGCACCGCAGCACGAGAACGAGTGAATATTCAGGCATGCAATTCTGTTTTGCTCAAAAGCTGAGGGCGCATTGCCACTTAATGAGTTAAGAACTATATGTTAAATTATGGTTGAGTTGTATCTTGTATAAATTATGTTCATGCGTTTGAAATTTGCAATATCTCAATAGCCACAGGAAATTTGCAATTGGATGCAGTGGCGACGCCAGTCCGACAATTTAGTCATGCTATGCAAATATTTTCGTGTTAATAGACCGTGAAAACAATCAATTTCTAAAGAAATTAATAATAATGATTTAAAATTTGCATAGCAAGACCAAATTTTCTGGCTGGCTTCGCCACTGTTTGGATGTGGATGGAATGGATGCCAAACTCTGACTGACATGTGTCCTAACTGGATAATATAAAATTTCAAATATTAGGGAAATATTGTGGCCTCATGTTACTATAGCTTTTGAATGGTGCAAGTCTGCAAACTTGAAAAAAAGCATGATCCTTATAGGAGTTAATTGAATGTTTATTTACATTTTAGTATATTATTTCATGATGCCAACTTTTCACTGCCTACGACAGTAGTTAGTTGTTTCCTGTTGATTCTTTTACTGTAATAATTAAATGAATTGGGGATAATGTTTCTGGTGACCAGTATCAAGAAGTAAGATACAGTACCTGAATGCTGGTGTCCCAGTTGGATAAGTGTTATAAATTTCGAACCCTGGTGTTTATATGATTATAACTGTTGTAAAATTTATTGGCATAATGTTGGTTGCTGAAATGTGATTGGATTGCATAATTAATCACGCGCGCATCGGACGACGAAACGAGAGCGAAGGAATATGTAATTAAATTAAAAAAACAAGATTTAATTTGCATGAATGCATGATCATGAGTCATGAATTTTTTACAAATTAGAAAACCCACAGGTAACACAAATATAAAGTTAAGACGTACGTGCAGTTATTTATACTAAAAATGGACACCATTGCAATAATACGTACAGTACATAGCATTGTTAATTTAAGAACTAAAAACTGAAGCATGCCTCCCAGGCCAGTCAGACCTATTGAAGAGATAGGAAATGCCTAATTAATACAGAAAAATATAGACGAAATGGTCCAGCTTGATATATTGTTGTAAATGGCATTGCGCGAGATAAACCTTTTAATCTTTTATGAATATATCCGACAATTAACGTGCTGGAGCTGTATGCTAATACAGATCTTGCTGTTAAAACAAACAGGTTGTTGAACGCACCAAAAAGCTGCCCAATGGTGCCAAGTAATGAGTTTGAAGCGGCGTTTCTCAATCTCAATCTCATTGGTCGACTCTTCGATTCACGCGTAATTACTGAGAAATATATCACGAAGAAAGCGTTGAAGACATAAAAAAGACAGATTATTTAGCTGCATAAAACTGAGATTTAGGACCCCCATTTTGTTGTCCATATATACCGGCGTATAAAGTTTCGTGTTTCATGTTATAATATACTGTATAAAGTTCCGTGAGACACATGCTGACGCCAACTGAGAATACTCGAAATTTATAGCTGGCTTGTCAATTTATATTATTTTCTAAACTTAAGTAACGACATGCATAAATTCAAATTGAACTATTTCCGAAGAGCTTTTAACAATAGCAATCTACAGTGAGTTTTCCGTGTACTTCTCCCAACACGTTATGCAATTTTAAAAGATTGCCCGAATATTTGCCATGCATGCATGTATGCTTTGTTCCTTACTAATTAGTGTTGTTGCCGATGCAGGGAAAAGCGAAGTTTACCAGAATATAGTTTTATAGAGTATTAAATAGTATTTTGAATTGGATATTAATATATTTGGCGCAGAATACTCTAGTTTACAAAACTGAAGTTATATAGAAGCTATAGCCATTTTCCAAACGTTGCGTTTCTCTGCCTTTCGCCAGTTTTTGGCACAAGAGGAAACGGCACGATTGTACTAGGCCTTATTTACATCAAGTTAATCTGGAATTTTAAGAATAAGTTCCGTCGCAAAAAAGCTGCATGAAGTGGATCTCTTGCTAACTTGTTTGTAGCTTATAGTTACCGTTCCGCGCCGGGAGAGACTGTATTATATAATGAAGTTTCTACCGCTGTAAACAGTAACGCGCAATGTATTTTTGCTGTACTATTAAATTACGTTACTCCTTTAATAAACACCGCTACCATCATGGACAGTATGGCTTGACATATTTAATATACACGAAAGAGTGCGACGGTGCAATGCAAGTGTTCTCATGCCACTGTGCAGGTTAAAACTATAGTTCACACATTTAAATGTTTTTGTTGTCCGACATTTTGCAAACCATGGGCAAGGTATTCAAATTTTCCGTCCAGGATTGTCTCATCCTGCACGGGTAATCACCAATCAGATTGTGTGTTTCACTGTAGTTATATATAATTCTGTTTCATTCCTGGCAACAACAGACTTAACTGTCCGTTAACTTAAATATTTTTTTACTACTATATTTTGTCTTCCGTTTGAAGTAAAACAAAGAATGTTGCGAATGCTGAAACCTCTTTGGCACGTTCGCTTAAAGGGATTTGCCAGAATCCTTTCAGTAAATCAAACTTCGACACATACTTAGCATTTCCAATTATCTCCACGCAATCATCCATCCGAGGAATGGGGAAATTATCCGCCTTCGTGAGGTTGTTTACTTTACGGTAGTCCGTACACATGCGATAACTACCGTCTGGTTTAGGAACTAATATACAGGGTGAACTCCAATTACTTTGACTGTGTTCAATGAAATCATTTTCAAGGAGGTATTGGATCTCTTGGTCAAGGTATTTTGCTTTCGTTGGGTTCAATCGGTAAGGGTGTTGTTTTATAGGGGAAGCGTCGCCAAAATCAACGTCGTGGGAAATCATGTCGGTTCGGGAAGGAACGTCAGGGAATAATTGTGCATATTCATTAACAAGGTCTAAAACATCCTGACGTTGAGATGGTTGAAGATGAGATAACTTCGAATCCATATTTCGTAAAACGTCGGAGTTGCTCAGTTTTGTTGTCTCAGAAAAACTAGAGAGTTCAGACTCATCCTCATTATTGTGACTATCTCTATCTGAACTCACAACGTTTACTGGCTGTACTATTTTCTTTCTTTCGTGATATGCTTTAAGCATATTTACATGGCAAAGCTGTTTATTTCGACGTCTATTTGGAGTTATGATTACATAGTTTAAATCATTCTCTTTCTTTTCTATAACATAAGGCCCAAAATACCTAGGTTGCAAGGGGTTTCCAGGAACCGGAAGAAGTGCAATAACCCTATTTCCGTTCTGAAAATTCCGAGTTACGTTGTTTTTGTCGTAACTGTGCTTCATGCGATTTTTATGTGTTTTAAGGTTCTTACGTGCTAGGTCACAAGCCTTAGTTAATTTGGTACGAATGTCCGTTACATACTGTAAAAGATTCAATGAACCACCGTTGTCGGTAAGCAACTTTTCCTTTAAAAGCTTGAGCGGTCCCCAAACCATGTGACCGAAAACTAATTTAAATGGACTAACCTCCAATGATTCTCGAACTGACTCACGAGCCGCGAACAAAAGGAAATGGACGCCGTCGTCCCAATCTTTCTCAGTTTCAAAACAATATGTCTTAATCATTTGCTTCAATGTTTGGTGAAACCCACAGGACGAAATCCATACCTTTTTTGACCTTTACAGATTGGGTAAATCTGCTAAAGGTATCTTTAAACGTATACAACTGTGCTTAAAGGCATTAAAGGTGTGTTCGAACTTTATCGACATTTAATACTTGTTTAAATACATCTTTAATCATGATATGCCTTTAGTTACCTTTACAAAAACAATTAAAGCTTGATAAAGCCACATCATACTTTACTCAAGTTTATATGTGATCTTTAAAGTTGATTAAAGAAATCCATACCTTTTTTGACCTTTACACATTAGGTTAAATCTGTTAAAGGTATGTTTAAACGTACAAAATTGTGTTTAAAGGCATTAAAGGTATGTTCGCACTTTATCGACATTTAATACTTGTTTAAATACATCTTTAATCATGATATACCTTTAGTTGCCTTTATAAAACAACTAAATCTTGTTAAAATACTCATTAATAATTCATAAACCTTGTGGCAAATCATGTCAGCCATGATATGTCACGTGGAGTGACTTTATCTCTGATAAAACACATGTGGCATTATATAATTGTTCATCTTAATTAGCATGATTATACTATGGTTCATCCTGATTAGTATTCTTTGGAGTCGTATTTTAAGCTATTCAAAACACTCGTTGTCGTGTTTAAAATAGTACATAAAGCCACATTATAATGTACTTTACTCAAGTTTCGAGTAAAATGTGTTAAAAGGTAAAATGTCGGCCATAAACGTCATTGTTACCATATATAACAACGGTAACGACATCATTTTTGTAAACAATTTGCAACTCTTGGACGATTGCTCAATATATGTGGTACAATTTTTGTCTTCTAAAAAGAAACATCTCTTCAAAAAATTAAAAATTAAATCTAAATCACGATTTTGTCATATTTCAAAAATTGTAGGGAGCCACCTTAATTAGGATTGTAAACCTGTGACGCGGTGTCTTGTTTCATTGCTTATTTTGACAAAGTTTCAGAGAACGGAATTGAACCAAAATGTTAAACTCAGACTACGTTTACACCATACCAGATGAATATGGAACCACACTGTTCACAAACTACACCTAAATTCATTTGTTGCAAACTTGCACAGTTAGCTATGCTTCATTTCGTACGATGAAGTACATGTACACTACTGTACTTGGACTTTTGATGAGGATTATTTATTCTGGTCAATTTGAATAGAAGATCTTAGCAGGGGTCGAAGTGGAAACCACTGGGACACACTGCAGAATGAACAACTTGCTTGCAGGGAAATTTTGTACAATTTTATTAAAAATGGAGGTTATAAATATATGTATTACTTATGAAAACATTTGATATGTAGCGCACATTGTCAGAAAATAACAAGTGATAGCATGCTTTAACATGAGATTGTCAATACCATTGACATTGTCATTGTTACAATTGTAATCGGTCAGTTGCAAGTTTTATAACTTTAGGTTACCAAAATCTAAGCGAAACATTGCAAAAATGCAAACATACAGTATAGCAAATATATAATGCAGCCATGAGGATCACATGCAATCATAAAATATGAAGATATATAGGTGTATGATTGACGGTCATGCATACTAGACCTAATATAAAGTACCTAACATTTAATACAACATACTCATACCAAATCAATATATAAACTCCTCATCTCAATTAAATTGGCTTATAGGAAGACTGTATGAAAACATGCATGTGCATAAATTTTGCATCCTGTAGGTTGCAGGTTGTTCTCGTCATGCTTAGAAAATTGATTCAAACCATAGCGATATAGACTCTTCATTGTTTTATCATGAAGTATCAGAAAGCAAGAAGACTTGAAGATATAAACCTTTACAAAAATTTATATTCCTGTTGGCTGCAGTCCATTTGTTCTCATAATTAAAAAAATTCTCCGTTTCAACATAAATTTAGCAAACCTCACGCAGCTAAATTGAATTCAACTTTAACAGTCACTCACAGACAAGTTTTCTTTAAAGATCTGATAAAATGGTCGCTCCAAATTGACCTATAGCCAGCATAAAGATCTTGTTTGTATAGTTCATTCAAAAGCTTATATATAGCAAGTGAGATTCCATAATACAATATATTCAAACCATACCAATATTGACTCTTCATTGCTTTATCATGAAGTATCAGAAAGCAAGAAGACTAGAAGATATACACCTTTTCAAAAATTCACATTCTTAATTATTGGCCGCAGTCCATCATTTGTTCTCATAATTACTGTAAATAATTTGTAAACATAAATTTAGAAAAACTCGCAATGGAGCTAAATTGAATTCAACTATGCAATAACAGTCACTCACTGATAAGGTTTCTTTAAAAATCTCATAAAATGGTCACTCCAAATTGACCTAGCCAGCATAAAGATCTTGTTTGTATAGTTCATTCAAAAGCTTAAAGACAGTGAGATTTTATGTACAATATATTAATTGAATGAAACCAAAGCAATATACTGCTAATTCATCATGTTAATTTGAAATAATATTCCACTGCATGTCCTGTGTGTAAGACTGGCTTATTCTTACATGCAGCAAAAAAATTTACCTTCCTGTAGACTGCAGTCTTTTGTTCTCAACATTATGATGTCATGAATGATGAGTGACTCAGTGTCTTACCTTAAGATATCCTTAATATTGGATATTACTTTATTTATTTCTACCATGAATTTAAACCAGAAAAAATAGGGGGAAAATACATTAACTTAGTATTAATTTTTATTAATTGTATTTTTGCATAATAAGGCACAAAGCTAAGGCAGGACTGTCATGAATGTAAGGTGGCCAAAGTTTTGCCAAGGCATGTTCTCACAATTTTCCAAAATCAATCGGGCCCTCTAAGTTTATCAAGCTTAGTTAAAATGGGTAGTTCTACAGTAAATGTAAAATGGGTAATTGTAAAACTTAAAATGGGCAGTTCTAAAATCCAGTTTTTGAGCTTTATATGAAAATTAATTATACATTAAGCATCTATACAGGATATTTAAGGCAAAAGTAAATCCAGCTTTGCCATGGCAAAAATGTCTCATTGAAGGGGAGTTTCTGGCACAGTGATTAATGCATGAACCTTGTCTGCCACATAGTTACCCTGTGTTCACTACCTCTGTTCTTGTCGAAATGGGCAGTTCTAAAATTTTCTTAGGATGATCCCTGCATAAACATACGATGCAAGTACATAACTGAAGGTTCAGTCTATCTACAGCATAATATAATGCTGTATATCCAAAAATCTGTTTCAGAAAATGCAGGGAATTGCAGTCATAGGGATAGAAAAATACAAATATTTTCTGGAGGAGAATACCTCCAGATGCCCCCCCCCCTCCCTACTATTAAATGCGATACCACACCAAACTTTTTGTTACCAACAAACCATCTATCATTTCTCCACAATCGGTATAGTATGGTCCCTTTTTGTAGATGCCCCCCCCTGACAAATTCTTTAAACTAGACATGCAATTATTGTTTACCTACGTCTGCGGATCTGTAGAATTCAGTATAGAACACTATACATTTATCGAGTATATCTGTAGTATTACATGTTATAATTGTTTCAGTGTGGGTATTAAATTGGGAAATTCGAAATATATAATATACAATAGCTTCGGGTTTCAGGAACTTTACGATACTTCACGTATTTATAGGACACAGTCTTTAAAATATGCGGATGGTATTACGAGAAGTACAGTTTTTACTAGTTTTGAATGTATAAATTTATGCTATTTTACTCACATGTTGCTCGTACTGCGTAACATTTTCTCTTTGTCCCACAGTCGCCAGAAGTCAACAGCACGTTCCCCTCTTTGTGTACGTACACGAACGACTAGTTTCTATTTTCTTCCTATTTTCGTGCTCGATAATAAATCTCTCCTGCATTTTTCTTTCCCTCTCAGATCTTTTTTCTTTTTTAAACATCCCCTGTATATCTCTCTCGCTCTTTCTTGTTTAATTATTTTTCGTCTTTTACGACGAATTCCTCGATCGTGTTCGGCCTGGAAAGCCGACCTAGCTTCGAAAGTATATGCTCGCTCTGTCTCGCTGGTTGCACTGAGATTTCTCCCAGATCGTGACGTATCCCACCATTAGCAAGTGCGCCACTCGCTGTGTGGAATGTCGTGTTAAAATGCGCCATTTCAACCGACTTTACGTAAGCTCATACGACCAGACGAAAAAGAGAAAAAGCATATTATTTCTTGAGATTTGCCGTCCTTGCTTGCTGATGATCAAGTGCAAATTCCCGCGCGCGCGCTTTGTTTACATATTGCTGCACAAATATTACCTTCCCCTCCCTCCCTCAGGCAGGTCAAACAATTGTCTGTTCGCTTGCTGTATATTTTGCAGTACTGGAATGGAAAATTTTGACCAAATATAACTGTTATTTCTATCTGCAGTTGTGCAAGTAACGTCAATTTTACGGATGATGGTATATTAGTGTTCTACTGAGCGAATTTTTGGCCAGATGTTGCTCGTCGAAACCAGTTTAGACCCCGTGAAAGTATACGTGTAATTTGAGTTATTTGACAAACAGGATGGCATTCCCGTTGTGCGTATATGTATACTCGTCCAATCGGAAGATATTTCGTTAATTCCCACTCAATTTTGGATTTTTATGATGAGGTTTAACCGTCACTATCGTTCAAGGTTCACAAACAGGGTTTTCGTCCATCCAAAGTACATTTGAGTTACTGAGCTAAACTTCAGCAAGTCTCGTATGGTAATATAAATATGGCTGTGTCGTTATCTGACCAATATGTCCTGTTTATATACTACAAAACGTCGGCCAGGAGAACAGGCTCTTACGAGAACAGTTAATATTAAAGACGACTATAAACGAGACGAAGTTGTCCATCGAAGATATGAAGGTTGATAAAATGGACAATTTGTCAAACAGAACTGCGAGACACGTTGCCAAAGCTATGCAGGGTAAGCATTTGTACTTATATCTGATAAATTGTGTATACATGTCATTTCAATGGTATAGAACGCTCTGATTTAATGAAAGTTTAGGCTCCTAAAATAATTGCGCCAAATATTCAAAGGCTAATTCAAGATTGCTGAACTCAGTCATAGATGCTGTTTAATAATTTATTACATGCAAATCACTGCTAAAAATACTACAGTATATACCCCATTTACTGTATATATATTATAGAACCCTTGTCTTTGCCCTTGGCAGGCAAAACGTGCAAGTTATGTTTACGCAATATATTTCTGATCTGCACTGTTGTGTTTATATGCCTGACTCAGGGAGGACAGGCATACCTAGGGGAATTTGGCAGTTTCAATTTTGCTACTGTATGTATGACAATAGGCTCCACTGCACAGCACCACTTTTTAGTCAATCTTTGTCAAATTTTCCCCTATTAAGAAATTTCAAGTTGCGAGAACTCAAGTAAATTCCTGTGTATGCCATCCTTCCCCAGGCGGACAAAACATTGCTTCGTGCATTATTCCAAAGTGCATATCACAATCACAAAACTCTTCACAGGCTAGGTTAACAAGGCAAGGATTAAGTGTCTATTGTACTATAGTATACCTAGTGCTGTATTTCATATATGGAGGCAGACCAGCCCAGGTATCCAAGCAAGTAACAAGGCACCCAGACTGGCCACAGCCTACTACAGTTGAGGTAGGCCATTACGCTTGGGCAGGTCAGTTCAGTTCTCATGTTATCGCAAGATTAAATTGGACAATTGACAAGAAATAATACCAAATGTGGTGTCTCTCCAAAACCAGACCAGCTCGGGTACCCTGGCTTCTCTTTCTTGCTTGCGAAATGTGAATTTACTTTTTGTGTTAAATTTCTTGAGGCACTATTAAAGCTGTGTACAGTGTAAAATAGCATAGTATTAAGTGCACCAGGAGGGATTGTGCCTTTAACATATATCTCATTTTTTATAGGATTATGTTCGTCGTAAACTGAAAGCATTGAATGCTTATTAGAGTAATCTAGCATACGTTTGATGAAAGGTAACTTTGTGTACTAACATTATATTTATGAAACACCACAATGACCACATTCATACAAGTTAACTTGTTGCTTGTGATGTTACTCTGAGTGTATATCCACACCGGGCAAGCTTGAAAAATATGCCTGATCACGGTGGGAATCGAACCTACGACCTTTGGAATGCTAGCCCAATGCTCTGCCAACTGAGCTACGCGGTCTGGTCG